ATCAATTACAAAAGCATAAAATAAAATTTTATTAATATTGACTATGATATATAAGTGATATATCAACATCATGCCATAATAATATGAATAACATATTTTTGAATTTAATGCCTTTTAAAATTTAACCTTTTCCATGAATATTTGAAGCTCAACTTCTGTCAAATCAGCTAAGATCAAGATATCCTGAAAAATTTTTTAAGGCAATTCTACTCCTTTGCTTTGCATTCAATTACTGTTTTTACTCATTCCTGCAATATTCCATTTATTTTTTATCCTCATAAATGGTTTCATCCATCAGATTAATGATTTGTCCTAAATTATGATTAATTATTTAATATATGGTCATATTAAACATACCCTCAGCAGTACTGTAAACCTAATTACAATATGTTAATATACAATGTGAATATATGTGGTTTATCTGATATGTTCTTTATAACGGCCAACATCCTTCATTTTTACATAATTTTTTCAAAAGATTCTTTCTCATTGATTAGAGTTTATGAACAAATCAAGGTAATATAAATTTCCTGCAAAATAGTTAAATTTACTAATACTAAATGGCATTACTAAAGATAAAACATGATCTATATTAGTTTTCTGATGTTTATGTTTTTTATTTATTATAATGAAAATAATTACATTATTTGTGAGGTATCTTATAAGTCTATATATTCTAAAGCAAAAAGTTAGCAATTTTTTTCAAACACTATAATACAATGAGCTAGCTGTTTAACTTATAATTATCAACTTGAATGTAATGCTACCATGCTGGTGACTGGGTAAAAGTAAATTTTATTTATTACATAATATTTCTAAAAGTGGAAAGAAATTAAATACATTACAAATATAAAGAAATGTTTAATAAAAAAAAAATTAATATAAGTTGAAATCTCAATTCACTGCCAGAAGTCAGAAGTTTGTTTCATCATAAATTCTCTGATGAGCAATTAGTACAGTAGAATTGCCTTTGGGTTAATGACAAATCACCAGGTCAGTGTAGAAAGAGGAGACAAGTGAATATTAATGTTGGGGAGAAATGCAAAATGTTTAAACTTGGTTTTTGTTCATTAGTCTAGCATGAATAGTTAATACAGATATGTTGGATAAGAGCTATTATGATATTTTTTTAAAAATTTCTTATTTAAATAAAATCTAAATTCTAAAAAGTGTATAAATATTCAAAGAAAATACATTTTTTCTTATAATATTTTTTTTACTGATTCATGTATCAATAATAACAAAATTATGTTATAAAAAATTAAGTATTTTTTAATGACGTGGCAAAATCTGACTTAATGATGCTGACTTATGGAAAGAGACAAGAAAAATGTTAACAAAAACAGTTCAGAATCTTTGTCTTTTTTAACAACAGATATATAATTCAACATTTCTTAAAAAGTCCAATAAGTTTTAAAGAAAAATCATTCAGATTAAATGTTTTTTTTCATATAATAAATTAGTTCAGAATAACTAATTTATCAATGTCTGACTTTTTATAAATACAAACTCATATTAAAATATTAAAGATATTTTTATAATTATTTGCAAAGTATTTATCAAAAATTCGTTTAAAAAAAAATATAACAGAATATAACATTATACTTATCAATCGTTTAATCAGCTTTTAATGAAAAACTATTTGGTGATGGAGTTTGCACAATGAAATTGCTTCCTTTAAGATTACAGTAGAGCATCAATTATCCGACCCCCGATTAACCGTCACATCAGTTAACCGACCGTTCTAGATGGCAAATTTCAAATGTCCATTAGTGATGTAGCACTACAATATTTGGCTATGTCTTGGCTACTTTAATATTATTTTTGTTAAATTTTTGCATGTTTTAGCTGGCAACACTGGCTCGACCATGACAGGAAGGCCAGTATTTAAACGAGATTTAATTTTCTAACTATGAGTGGTTGTTTGTTTTGTGAGCAATAAAATAATTTAAAAATAATTTTTAACGATACAATAGCTACGATCATTATTTTTTAAAAAATTTTGTTAGGAAAATTAAACAACTACAAACCTTTACGGTGTGATATTATAAAAAATAATCAAGAAGTTTAATTTTGTTAGGCTTAACATTGATGAAAATTCAACGTGAAGTATGTTAATAGCGATATACTAATATACTAATTACATGGGATATACTAATATGCTAGTATACTATACTAATAATGTATTTTTTCATTCTTTTCGATTATCCGATGTTTTCAGTTAGCCGACCAACCTGAGTCCCCAATTGAATCAGATAATCCATGCTCTACTGTATTTGAAATGTTTAACTTGTCCTACTACATAATCTTTCTTTATATTCTGTTTTATTTATAATAAAAAATTTTATGTTCTTACAATATTTTTTGATATTTACATTTTCAAAATAAACTGATGACTGATTTAAATTATTATCTGCATCTTCTGTACAGAAAATTGTTTTTTTATTTAAAATATCAATTACTTAATATAATGTTTATAAATAATATTTTAAAAATTGTTAAATCAATTAACTTACAATTAGCATTTAAAAATACAACCTTTTGTAAGTTTCTTAGTTTCAAGCTATTTTCCCTATCAGAAATTATCTGTTCTGTTAGAAAACATCTACTCACTAGGAACAGATATGGCCATAAAATCCAAATATTTCTTGGTTAATTGCTAATCAAAAATATTTGAATATTTCCTTGCTTTCTGTCATTTTATAGGATTGTTGTTCCTTTCAATATTAGCTTTACCACTAAACTGTCTCAATTTAATTATAATGAAAAATTTTGATATGAACTTAACATTTGTATTTTATGATTAAATTCTTTGTTTTCAAATTTATACCAAATTACCTAGTTTTCTCCAAAATTTTCCTGTGTGTCTAATATAAATTTTCCATGATAGAATTTGATATATTTCATAAACTGATTGCAATCAATTATTTCCGTTTTAATTAATATATTATATTTAATTTCATTTAATTCAAGCATTAAAATATTGATAAAAATAATATGAACGCACAACATTAGTTTCATTTTATGATTTTACATTGTTTGAAATGTTACATTTTATAATCAAATAACTGTTTCTCATAAATCATTTTTCATAACTGTTTCATAAATCACTGTTTATGTTCATTTGTTACTCTAACTCATTGTGACAAGATTCTGAAAATAATGAGTAATAATTTCTTTTGAAAACGTGTATTCTGTGCTTCAAATGGTTATAGATACCACATACAAAAGGAATGAATTATTATTATTTGCAAATCATTAGCTGAAAGTTAATTAATTCTTTTGATCAAGTCACTTTATATATTCAATCATATAAACAGCTCAAAAGTTGTGCCTGACACAGTTCCAAGGAAAATATAGCTATCTATCATTAATAGAAGTCCTGATATTAATGGCAAAATCATGTGTATATATTTTAAACTTGCAAATATTGTAAGTGATTTAACAGATTGGCAAACTTGTACTCCTAGTAACAGATATTTAAAAATAATGTATTACCTGAAGATTTTAATACATTCAGTTTGAAAAATATTATTATATTATAAAAATTAGTATTTCATTTACTATTATTTTGTTTAAATACTTACATTTAAAACTGCTGCTAAAACCAAAAATTGTTCTAAAGTTATTGTTTCAGCATAACTTGGTTCTTGACATAATTTTAACATGCAAGCAGCTGCTGTTAGTCGTAACCATGATTTTTCCATTGGACTAAAATTTATGTATTTTTTTTTTATTAGTTTATATTTTTAAATTAAATTATTAAAAAGTTCAAAAATCTTACGAAACATGTTCCTTTTCCATAAGATCTCCATTATGATTAATAACAGTACTTAAAAGACGTAACGTAGACATTGCAGAATGAGTGGCAGTTTTTAATCCCAATAACCAGCGTACTATCAGTTTCATTCCTTCAATCTAAATTAACACATATATTTAAAAATTTTAATGAAATTTAACTAAAAATATAATATCAATATAAAATTTATCATTATATTATATACAATAAACTATAATAACCTTCAGGGCTTGCATTTGTAAATGCGTAAACCAAAAATCTGCACAACTTTAACAGACATACAGTAAGACCCCGCTTAACGCAGGGGATGTGTTCCGGGATGACAAAGTGCTAAGTGAAACGGCGTTAAACGAGGTCATTTTAACACAGAGTAAATAGGAAAAGGGAAAAACGCAACCAAAAATAAACAAATTNATATTATCAATTTCTGTTTGAAATAAAAAGTTCAGAAAAGCACTGACAAAAATTCAGAGAACAGAAATCAACTAGCGCATGAAAGAATTATGTAAATGTGAGGCCTGAATGAAATTCGAACTTTTGGTATTAAAACATTAACGAATACTCGATAGGACAGTTAAGCTCTCACCTTTAGAAAATAAAAACCGACGCAAAACTTATGGAGTGCCCGACAGTCTCACGAAGACTATAAAAAAATTATTTGTCAGAAAAGTAAACAAAAAGCTGGAATTACAATGGAGTGTTTCAAAGTTCGGGGAAACTATCCGATCGGCATCAGGTTGAGCATCGATGTTAACATCTCCCGCACTCTGAAAGGTTTCGAATTGTTATCTGAAGACAAGGGAAAATCAATCGGCATTCGTTATTTTCTGTCGCTTTTTTTTATGTTTGTACAGTGTAGTGTTCATTATCCGATCATAAAAATCTTTCGCGAAAGTGTTCGTCATCCGATTTGTTCGTTAGCCGATCACCCACTGTATATGTATTTTTCAATTAAATAAACGCATAAAACAATGCTTTATACACTGTAGTGTTTTAAATTGTGTGTGTTAAAAGACAAAAATTGTTACATTATTTTTTTAATCTTCTGAAACTGTGTTTTCTTAATTTCTTTGATTCACTACAATTGCAAATAATATAGAAGGTTCTAAATATGGATTCATCTTCAGGGAATCGACTTAAATCTAATATGTAAGGTTAAAATTCCTACAACATACCTTACAGTTGTATCTTCAACTAAATAAAGATGAAATATCGCCAAGTGTTGGAATAGTAACACACCTTGTGTTAGTGAATCAAAAAAAATGTTATATTCTTGTTTAAATTTTCAAATGAACAATTTTATATCTTAAAAAAATTATGCTGTTACCATCTTAATTTAAATTAGTATTAGTTGATGATCAAAACTTCATTTATAATCACAAAAAGTTATAAATATAAATATGTAATATTTTTAAGGCTAAAGTTATCTTTTATATATCAAAAAAGTATATGTATTATAAATTTACTTTGGATTTTCTTAACAGGACAGTTCAATCAAAATATCATTTCCCCCCCACTTACTTTAATTAAAAGAATCAATTACTAGATTAAATATAGATCAAATTACTTTTTTTCCATCAAACCTACTTCTTCAAAACATTACATGATTAAATAACTTATTACATGAAATATTTCACTTCTGATTATAAATGAAATAATAAATGTAAAATAATACTAAAGTTTATAGTTTTGAGGCAATCCTTTCTCTAATTTACAATAGAAAATTCTTAAATAAAAATCTATTAAACAATTAAATGTGTTAAGAAATAGCCTCTGAAATTTTAGATATTTTCTTGCATAAGATATTTTGCAAAGGATTAAACTTACATTTTGTAATTTTGTAATACTTTATCAAGTAACTTGGCAGGACAGAAAAAAAATCAGCAATCAATTATTTAAGTTGATGATAACCATATATAAGATCAACAATTTCCAATATAGAATCTGAAAACAATATAAAGTGAATGAATTTACAAGGAAAACAAAATTATCTACCAAATACTACATACTAGATATCAGATTTAAGACATTTTATATAGAAAAGTAGATTTTATTAGATAATTATTGAATAGGATTTCTTGAATTTAAAAATATAAATGAAAACCATTTGAAAATTTTACTACTAAAAGTCAAATAAAGAGGAAAATAATGAAAACCTTAAAATAAGGTTTCTATTAATATGAAAATAATTGCTAGAATTAAAATAAAATAAATTTAATTTAATAATTAAATACAAATACTACATTATTCTAGCTAAAAGTATTTATCTCAAACAATAATATCCATAAAAAAAAACTGATAAATATAAATGTTAAACAGCATACAAGTCTGTAAATAGGAATCAATGCCTTAACATGTTCACTACTGATATAAAAATCAATTTCCCTACCAATATGTTATAAATATATATATATATTTTTTTTTTTTCATTAATACCCTTGTTTTAAAAATGTACATATATTAAAAAAATAACTTGTGAACTAGAAATTTTCAAGAATTTACAATCAAAATAATCAAATAAAATTACTTGAATGGCTTTTGGAAGAATAATTTATTAAAAAGGATTAGCAAAGAATTTCTAGGTAATGAAACAAATAACTGTTGAATAAATCAAGAAATGATGGATGATAAAATAATAAACGAGTTATATAAAAATTTGAATTTACTTTTATTTATTTACTTAATCTATCATCCCATATAAATTTATATTCATCAATAAGATCATTTAAAAAGTCATCCATTCAATTAAATTTAACAGCTTTACTTATAAATTTTTATAATTTTCCTATTTATATATAATGTTTGTATCAAAATAACATATACTATGTAGCTGCTACATAAATTTTTATTGACTTTACTGATAATAACATAACTGACACTGAATTTCTCAATAAATATTCTACTTTAAAAAAATCTGCAAAACTATTAATTGAATAAATATCAATGCAATTTCTTTTATTTTTTACATAACAGATGTCTTTTTCTTTAGAGAAACAGCTTAAAATTTTTTTCATTGTTGAAAATGAAAAATTTGATAAGCATGCATAGTTATTTAATTTAACTTAACTTATTTAAGTAAGTTAAGTTATTCCTAAATCATCATTCTTTAACTTTATGCATTCTTTTTACAGTTAAATAGTCCTTTAACGTTTTATTTATATAATTTCATAACTTTTTCACTGCTTCTATAACATTTTCTTGCAACAAAAGTGCACTTATACCAAAAATGTAGAAAGAATTTGAGAATTTATATTGCATATAATATGTCATATTATTTTCATTGTAAATGTTCATAATAATAATTAATAATGGTATTTTACTTCTCTAATCTCTGAATTAATCAGACCTTATAAAAATAGTATACAAAAATATCCTGACCAG